TCTCGCGTCTTAGCCGACGCCGGATATCAGTATTTCTCCGGTACATTGTATTATTATATACTTTATTGCGTTCCGCTGTATGCAAATACAATGTAGTTTGTGTTTCGTTGCTTGTTCGCAGCTGATATTAGTTTTGCGCAGACAAATGCTGATGTTACAATATTGATAAATACGTACCTACCCGTTCGGTATAATAATATGTGATGGCTGTCTTTCAATCGGTTCGCGAACAAACGTATTACAAATAAACGATCGGCGTATAAAAACAACTCGTATCAACTGTGTGTCGTTCTCTGTAAATAACAAAATAAAAGAAAAAAAAAAATCACAATTTTGTCCGTATACGCCCTCTATAGTTCGAGTCTTACAGCTAGTAAATATTGAAGTAGCGTTTGCACGTTTTTCGCGTGTCTTTCTAACGGTCGACGAGACAAAACCGTGTTCGTGTAAAACGAACGAAAAGACCACGAAAATCGGTTCAATCTAAAACTTTTGGAGATTATAAAATATGTATAACGTTTATAAATGACTACGTTTTGAATTCAGAAAAAACGTATTTGTTTGATTGTTTTACAATTCTTTAAGCGTTCAACCCGTACAAAAAATCGTATTTTATATTTTTATTAAACCGTAAGTCTACATAAATTTATTCTACACGTTTTATAACGGCCATATAGGTGTGTTTTAAGACCCTGAAACCGATTTCAAAGCGCCCTTGCGTTTGTTTTACGCAAACACGTCTTCGACACATCCTCTCTTTTAGAAAAACCTAGCCGGTAAAACGCCTCTGCAGCGACGACCTCCTGACGCGTCCCGGGGGGTTAAAGGGGATCGTATGATGTTCCGTATTTCTATCACGATATATTCTAAGTGCTAATTTCAAAAAACTAACTGTATTTCGCCTGATCCCCCTCCCATACCCGCGAAATTGACCTGAATACGCCACTGAACCTATCTGCAACATTTGAAATAATCTCGGACAATTATTCCACCAACGTTCATTCGCTTCAATTGATTTAAATGTTATTGCGTATACATCACACAAATCTAACTCGTTTTTAGAGTAACCGACGTCAGTCATCGTTAGCCGTTATACTTTTTGCTACATATTATACAAGACTATATTAGTAATATAATGTAAATTTAAATCGGTCGTATCCCGTGCATAATAATTAATAATAAATATGGCCTCAATTGAAATCAATTAAGTTAGCGTCTACATTATTATTATGTACGCAGGCGGGTTTTTTTTTTTTTCTTGATATTCTCAACAGTTAACAAATTTCCTAGATTGCCAACGGGTTTTCTATTAAATTTAAAATAAAAAACTATCGACCAACGACGGTACGCCGGTTTTATTATCGTTGATTTCGAGATAACCCGGGCGAGGTAAAATGAAAAAAACTCCACTGTTATACTATTACAACCTCGACAGTTTACCGCGGTCTTCGCTGAGAATCGTATTCCGATTGCAACGGTTTATCGTGGATTTCAGCGCGCTAAAAACTAAAATTTAGTTTGTCAATTTTCGTTCCACTATTCCTGGTATAATTTCAAAAGATATCGTGCAATATTGTGTTTTATTTTAAAACGTGAACTACGAATATTTCTCGTACGATAATTATCCGTTTATACAGTAACCGCTCGGGTGTTAATATTATAATATGGTGTATCTACTATCTTACCCGGTTCCGTTCCATCCGATTTTCGTTCTGGGATCATATTTTTCTACACGTATATTATAATTATTAACGGAACCGCACACGAATTGTGTGCGGTTGACCCTGACAATTATGTCCCAATATAAAGTTCCTACTGTGTGTACAATATAATGCAACGTGGGCACTGTAAATTCGATTAACTAGACAACTCTGTAAAACTTATCTCGGCAGAAACATTTCTACGGGCCGAATAAATATTACAAATCGATTCGGTTCGAATAAATCGTAAAAAACGTTAAGCTAATATACGATGTGGATATTTGCTTGATAAACAAAAAACTCCATTTTACTATTGGTCTAAAAGTAATTATTAATTTCTCTTCTTTTATAATTTAAAGAAAAAAAAAAAACAAAAAATATTAAATCTCGTCTATTTCCGTGTTTTTTTTTTTTTTTTTTTCATTGTCGCGTTTCAAGAACATCGATAATACTTTTATTCACCGATGAAAAAAAAAAAGAAATAAATATGTTTAAAACCCGAACAGTAGATACTATAATTTGTTGGTAATAATACTGCAGTATACGGACAATATTACGATAAAGTAACTTACGAGGGAGAGGGGGGGGAGGAAGCAGTAATATTGAATACCCGCGTCGTATTGATAATTGTTATACCGATGTACATACAGAACACGAATACGTTGCGAGACAGCCATCCGAAACGGACGTCGGTTCACATAAAAAAAACAACCTGTACCAATAGCATGTATACGGTATGTCATGTGCAAATTGAGAGGACGTCGTACGCGGTTTTCGTTCTGAAATCCGAACAGCATAATTATTATTATCGTGTGCATTGTCATTTGGCCGCCGAATGCGCTCGCAGACGGGATTTGAACACACGCGACGTGTCAGACATACCCCGCTTACCCGTTTACCCACATATAATTATGGTCTAGACACGCGTTAATAATAATGCGAGATATTTGGCGCGGGAGAACGGAGGAATAACCGTAGAGGATTAATCGCGGGTAGCCGGAACGGGGAAACTAGTGGGAACAGGATATGTTTGATAACCGACAAAAAGGTAGTGTTGAGGATAAAAAAAAAAAAAAAAATAAAGGAATTTGGATAAGACTGCAGAGGATACGAACAATAGAAACGTGTGAATGAAAATTTCAAAAAGGCCGTTACTTCGCTGCCACTTTCTAACGGAAAACTTGATAAATATATAAGCGAAAATGTACAACAAACAAAATAGGCCTTTGAAATACGTCTCAGGCCTAATTAATTAGAAAAAAAAAAAACGTTATCACCGAATTTCGGAAACCGATTTACTGTCACTAAATCAATTTCTGAAACTATGTTTTCCGTCAGAAAGACGGAGACGACTAATGGCCACATTGACGGTCCCTTAAGACAATGGATGTGTGTGGTGCGTGTGCCAATAATTGGGTGGTACAGTTTTTCCGAACAGACAGCGTGCGACAGCGATACTGACGACAACGGACCTCGCGGCGTCCTCTCAATTGAAACGTGTAAATTGTAGGCCACCTCCACAGCCCCGAATAGAATATTATTGAAGCGATTGTAAGTCGGTCGGCACTAAAAACGGTACTTTTTTCCAGGGGAGTCTCGTTGGACAGGGGAGTGTCGTGGAGCAGACCGGAACCGGAACAGACGGCTGTGCTGGAAAGCGCGAGCCAACAGGTGCGGAGAACGCACTCGACACTCTGCTAGACGAACTACAGACGACCCCGTCGACGGTCGTCGTCGCGGCGGCGACAGCGCCGGCGGCCGAGGCGGTCGAGCCGGTGATGACGACGACGACGACGACGACGACGACGACGACGGCGGCGGCGGCGGCGGTGGCTGCGGCGGCGGCGACAACAACGACAGCGACGGCCACGGCCACGGCCCCGGTCCCCGGGGTTACTCCGTCCGCGTTGATTGCGCCGAAACCGGTATTGCGGCGGTTGAGCAGCACGTCGTCGGACGCGGGCGGCAAGCCGCCCGTGCCGGAACGTACGCCCGACCTGCAGAACAAGCGGATGCCGCCGCCGCCACCGCCCAGGACCAGCTCCAAATCGCCCGTAGCGTCACCGACTACGTGCGCGGGAGGGGCGGTCCCGACTACGTCGCCGAGGGGTTCGGTGTCCTCCTCCGGCGGCAGTCCGCCCAGTCGTAAGGGATCGCTGACAATGACCGTCGTTGCCGCGCCGCCCGCCGTGACCGCGACGATGATGGGCGGCAGCGGCAAACCGCCCATGCCCGAACCGCCGGCGTCGTTTCAGCCGTCATCGGGCGGCGGTGGCGTCGGCGTCGGCGTCGGCCCCAGCAGACAGGAACAGTTGGAACAGCGGCACCAGGAGTTGTTGAAGAAACAGAAAGCGTTGCAGGAACAGTACATGCGGTTGCAACAGTTGCAACGGACGCAACCGCCGCCCGACTTGCTGCAGCTAAAGAAGACCGGCAGCGAGGGAAACCTGATATTGAAAATGGGACTTTCGATGAGCGCGGCCGCCCCCATATCGGGCTCGCTCACTCAGCTGGCCGCCGCGACCGCCGCCCAACCGTCCGCCGCAGCCGCCGAAGACGACGCCGCCGCAAAACAACAGGCGTCCGCGACTGCAGTCGCCGCCGCCGCCGCCGCCGCCGCCGCTAACAAAACCTCTACGACGACGACCGTCAACAAAGTATACGAGACCGACATCATATGACCCACGACCGACGTCTGAAACGCCTAATAATTATCGCATTCATATATGCGCGTCGACGCAAGCGACGCCGTCCGCTCGGAAACCGTATGAAAATAAATGTGTTGCGCCTGCCGAGCGACCGTAACACGCCGGTGACCGCCGCCATCCCGAAGACCATCCCGTCTTTTCTATTCGGGTCGCGCGCGCCGGGCTCTCGCGGGGTATTCGACCAGCCAGTCTTCATTGTACCCGCGGCAACGCGTGGCCCGCGAAAACGCCCGCAAGACACACCGGTGGGCCGAGACGTGCTCGCGTTTTCAACTCGCAAAAAAAAAAAAAAAAAAAAACAAATTAATAATAGTGACTTTCGGTCAGCTCAAATGTATATATATGTGTATATTGTATACGACTTTCTCGGTTCGAAACTGAACGTTTACGATTTGAAACGACGAGAACCCGCGTGTTGTTCTCGTCGTTTCACTACGAAAACGTAGAATTTTTTTTTTTTTTTTTTTTTTTT